GCTGGTTCTGTTGAAGCTGCTGCTGTAGAATTCGTTCTCTGTCTTGGGCTTCCTGCTGGAGCTGTTGCTCTCTCTCCCTTCCCTCCTGAACTTCATGTTGAAGCTGCTGCTGTAGATTTTGGGCTTGTTGAACCTCCCTCTCCCTTCCTTGAACTTCTTGATGAAGCTGTGTCTGGAGTTGTCGCTCTCTCTTTTGAAATTGTTGCTGTCTCTCTCGACTTTCTCTTTCTTGTTGTCTTAGTGTTTGATTCTTCTCTTGAACTTGTTCCTGAGCTCTTTCTATTTCCCTTTGAAGCTGTTGCTCTCTTATTTGAGATTCTCTCTCTCTTGATTCAAGTTGTTCCTGTAGTCTGGTTCTAACTCATTCCTTTTCTCTTCTCTCCTCCTGTAGTTCCCTTTCCCTTTCTTGTAGTAAACGTGTCAGACGATCTATTTCTCTTCTGTCCTCCTGGAGCTCCCTTCCTTTTTCTTGTAGTTGTTGAGTTGGTAGTTTTATTTCTCTTTCCTTGTTTTGATGATGATGAGGTTGGACAGGTTGAGATACTTCCCATTCTATTCTCCTTTCTTGTAGTTTCTCTTGATATTGGTCCAGAGGTATTTCACTAACAGACCAACCTTTATCATCATATCCTATACAATAATACAATACATGATTGCAGTAACAAGCTTGTAGAATGTTCTATCTATTACTACAGTACACTGCTGTGTGTGTGTGTGTGTGTGTGTGTGTGTATTTATGTGATAAAGAAAACCATATTCATCTACATGTGCCTATAATTTTTGAAGTGTAGGTGAGCATGTCTGTTTACACATGGACATGTATCTCATACAAAATGCTCAATGAATAATCTCATATCAACAATATCTATCATTCTGGTATTAGAAATAACAATAATCAGGATAATGTGAGAGAGGAAGTTACAAGTACTATCTCAAATACAGTGAGACATACATAATGATATACATACATGTACTTACTGAGTTCAATAACTGCTGTATCCTTGTATCTTGAATCTCCTCCAAACACAATTATCCAGTCAATGGTTGGTGTTATACTCCATACTGACATAGAATGATTTGATCTATTAGTGACACTTCTTGGTAAATTCAACTATTAGAATTAAAAGACTAATAATACCATCAGTTCACAAACACTTATGAACAACAGTGTTGGATCCAGGAGGGTACATGGGTAGTCTTGTAAGGGGAGGGGTCATTTGTACAGACAAGAATTACAAATCAGACAATTTTGAATAATCAATTTCACTAGTAACTGCTGAATAGACAATACTATATGCCAGTATAGGTACATTGATGTATATAATTCACCAATAAGAAATGAAATCCTTTCCAGACATAAATGTATTTCCTTAAAATTTGTAAGTTAGCCTCAATTTTGTAATACTGTGCAAGTACAAATTTTAAATTTGCATAAAGCTTTTTAATTTTTTACTGTGAGTATTTCTAAAGTATGTGTAAAATTCCTCCCAAAAAATCTACAAAATTATATACATACATCTTAAGTTTTGTTAACCCACAAACTTCATACCCATAGGGTATATACAGTATGCATATGAGTATTGTTCACCTGTAACATACATTAAGTACACATGCTGCTCATACATAGTAAGTATTCCCCAGTATTAATTTTGTGGTTATATATAAAAAATCACTCATAAAATCTGTGAAATTAAACATATACCCTATGGAATTTATACACATACAGTATTCAAGTACATGCGAGGTTCATGTAATTTTGAATAGGCTAAAATTGAATGACTTGATCAACATTTGCCAATTAAAATAAAACCCACCATTTATTAATAGATATTTTTATTTCCAAAAAATCATTTGCATGCTTCTAGCCATTTACACACGTCTGACTACTGCCTCAATGACACATGACTATAAATCACTGGCTATTAATTTTCCAAAATTATCCCCTTATAAATTACCCACTACACAGCATTATAATACTTACCAGTTGTTTCCATATTCTTTTATTAATATCAAGTAACCAGCAATCAATCATAAGTAATCCACTCACCACTAGTAGGTATGGTCCTAAGTTACTATAAATAAATACACTGGAATGACCCCATCGTTCTTTAGGCGTTTGTTTTGATACTTCAAGAAAAGAAAAATTCTAAATAATAAAAATAATACACATAAATAATGAAATTAAAATCAATAATAGTACAACAATATTGATACACTTACAACTGATGTGTGGCTAAAATTAACAATATAAGTATTGTTACTGGATCCATTAGGAGTAGCCC